AGACTTTGAAGGAGAAGTGGATGGCATAGTAGGCACGGAAGCCTTCGGGCATAATGAGAACTACCCCTCCTCCACATGCTTTGATAGCAGAGGTGCCATCGGTATAGAGGGTCCACCAATCATCCGAGGGTATCGAAGGCTCGTCATCCACCGCTGATCTTGTCGTGCATTCCGTCACGATGTCTGCCAGGGCTTGCCCTTTATGGCAGGCCTCAGACAGATGTCAATGTTGTACTGGCTAAGGAAGATAGCCCATTTTACCATCCAGGAGGAGCTGGTGGGGCTCCTCATCAAAGCGCCAAGGGGTTGGTGTGTGAGGACCTGGATCGGATGGGCTTGGAAGTAATGGCCTGGCTTTTTGACTGTCCAAATGATGGCTAGCACCGTCTTTTCCACGAGAGAATACCTGAGTTCGGCCTCCCTGAGAGTCTTGCTAACATAGAAGATGGCATGTTGGATGTCGTCTTCCTCTCGGATTAGCACTGAGCTGATGGCAGCAGGGCTAACGCCGAGGTAAAGGTACAAAGTTTCCCCCATCTTGGGTTTGGAGAGCACAGGGGGTGAAGATAAGTACCGCTTCAATTCGTCGAAGGCCTCCTGGCATTCAGATGTCCATTGGAAGTCAGCGGTCTTCCTCATGATCTGGAAGAAGGGAATGGATTTCTCCGCCGATTTGGATAGGAAGCGGTTGAGGGCTGCGAGGCGGCCCGTCAGCCTTTGGACTTCCTTCACATTGCATGGGGCTCCATGTTGATGATGGTCTGGATTTTTTCGGGGTTGGCCTCGATACCCCTACGGCTAACCATATAGCCCAGGAATTCGCCTCATTGCACTCCGAAAGTGCATTTCTTCGGGTTTAGCCGAAGGTTAAACTTTTGCATAATGGCGAAAATTTCCCGGAGGTCGTCAGAATGGCTCGGTGATTGTTTGCTTTTGACGATCATGTCGTCAACATAGGCCTCCATAGTGCGCCCTAGGACGGCTTGAAAGACCCTGGCCACCATCCGGGTGTAGGTAGCACCTGAATTTTTTAGGCCGAATGCCATCACCAGATAGCAGAAAATGCCTTCGGGTGTCATGAAGGCTGTTTTTCAGCGTCTTCCTCGTGCATGAAGATTTGGTGATATCCGCAGAAGGCGTCGAGGAATGACATGATTTCGCATCCCGTTGTCTCGTCCACCAGTTGGTCAATATTTGGCAGCGGGAAAGGGTCCATGGGGCACACCTTATTCAGATCCGTGTAGTCCACGCACATACGGAAGGTGGGTTGCTTTTGTGTGAGGACCACGTTGGCAAGCCATGAGGGGTACTTTACCTCCTTGATGTGTCTGATGGAAAGGAGCATGGTGACCTCTTTCTTTACAAAATCCCTCCTTTCGTCCGAGAGGGGCCTTCTTCTTTGTTGCACGGGTTTGGAGAAAGGGTCCACCGATAGGCGGTGAGTGATTACCCTTCGGCTGATTCCTGGCATGTCCTCCGGCCCCCATGCAAAAACAATGGAGTAGGCGCGGAGGGCATCTATGATGCCGGTCTTCAAATCTTCAGGGAGCTTGGCTCCTATCTTCACGGCTCTCTCCAGCTTGGCCGGATCGAGTGCAAAGTCTTCTACCTCTTCGGCTCGTTCTGCCCTCGGCCTCTTTTCTTCTTCCTCCACAGTTCCGGTGATGGTGTCTACTCCGAACTCAGCCTTACTGACCTTCTTTGTTATTTGGAGGTAGCAGGCCCGAGCGAGTTTCTGATTCCCCCTTGAGTACCCAATGCCTGCCCCTTTCAGCTGGGAATTTGAGGCATAGGTGCCTCATGGAGATGACAGCCTCCAAATCTTCGAGGGCGGGACGGCCGAGGATGATGTTGTGGGCACATTTGATGTTGACGATGACGAACTCCACTTCGAGCTTGGCCCTATGAAGTCCGTCGCCGAAGAGTACCGGGAGGGTTATCACCCCCTCGGAATCTATTGTATCTCCGGTGAAGCCTGACAGAGGACTCCCTCTCCAGGAGCAGCTCCTTGAATGTGTTAAGGTACATTACGTTGACGGAGCGGCCCGTGTCAACGTAAATTCTGACAATAGTATTATTGATCTCGCTTTGGATCACTAGCGCATCCCTGTGAGGGGAGGAGGCCGGGGGGAGATCGGTGTTGGTGAACATGATGGGCTCCTCTCTCAACCGCTTTACGGGGGGCATATGAGTGACCTCCCCTGCGTAAAGGGCATGTCCCATTTTTCCTTTGGCTAGTGGAGTCTCTCCTCGTGTTGCCACCGGTGATCATGTGGATGTGGCACTTCTTCTGTTTGCACTGGTTGTACCCCTTTTCCTCATCAAGGTTCCTGATCTCCCTCTTCTTGTCGTTCGGGTCACCGAGGGGAATAGTGTTCGGATTTATCCAGGCATTTGCATTCGTCTGTGGCCCTCGAGGGCGGGGGGGCTGATGCTGGGGGCTCCTGACAAATTGGGACAGGTGTCCCGCCTGTATCAACCTCTCGATGGCTGTCTTCAGCTGATGGCAGTCGTCGGTTCTATGCCCTTGGTGGCGATGCAAACGACAGTAAGGTTCATTGGGGTTGATGGCATATACCTCCGGGGGTGCGCGAGAATCTCGCTCCACGAGGCCCCTCTCCTTTGCGAAATCGAGGATGACGTTGATGGGATGCGTCAGAGGTGTCCGAGGGTGATCCAAGAGAATAGGCTGCGCCCAAACCTTCAGGTTGTTTTTGTAACCTCCCCCGGGCTTGGCTTGGCCGTGCCTCAGGCGATCACCCGAGGGGGGCGAACCTTTGGACTGGTGGAACAGTTCACCCTGCCCTCGGTGATTCTTATCATCTGCCTTAGGGCGTTGTTGTTCGGGGTTTTGGTGGCATTTCTCCACCTCCTCGGCCTCTGCATACCGGTCACCCCGTTGTAGGGCCCTTATGTAGTCATGAGGGGGTTCAATGATGAGGGTCCTTGAAAAGTTTCTGGTGCGGAGAACCATCTGTAGGAGAGCCAGAAGGGTCCCGTCGTCGGCGCCGTCAACCTTATCTGTCTCCACCCTCCAGCGTTCCAAGAAGTCCCGAAGGGTTTCCTCCTTCCGCTGCCTCATCGTTAGTAAGTGAGAGAAGTGCTTCCTCGATCGGTGTCTCCCCGTAAATTGTGTTAGGAAGCGTTGGGCGAGTTCCTGCCATGAGTCGATACTCCCTTCGGGCAATCGGTTGAACCATTCGTACGTTGGTCCTTCTAAGGTAGAACGGAACCAACGGCACAAATATTCATCTGATGCCCCCACCATCATCATTTTGTTCTGGTACCGACTGTAGTGCTCCTGGGGGGTCAGTCTTTCCTTCGTAAGGCTTGATGGGTTTCCCTCGGTATTTTCCCGAAATCTGGGACGCCAATACCCTTGGGGTAAACGGCGTCCTAGTCTGGTGAGTGTTTGGATGAAGGCAGAAAATGATGACTGTACGTCAATAGTGAGGACCGGAGGGCTCACTTGATTTTCGCTCCGGTCCCTCCTTCGGGTTTCGATGCCAAGGCGGGAATCAGGAGCATTTTGCTGGAGCTGAAGGCGCAGGTCAACAGCAGGCTGTTCCAACCCAACGATGACTCCGCCCTCGGGAGCCTTAAATGCAGTGGTTGGATGCAACGTTGGTACTTGGTACGGTGATCCAGCGCATGTGGAGAGGAGATTCTGTCGAGGAAGACGCCTTCGACTGTACCTAATGTGCCGAAGGCTCCATGGGTCGGGGGCCTCTATGTGCCGAGGGTTGCAGGTGTCGAAGGCTTGGTTTTCAGCCTTGTTCTCCGGTGATGTTTCTGGGTTTGATTCTGTCAACGGTAGGCTTAGGTTATGGGGCCGAAGGCACCCCCTCGCGTATTGTGGGCTGCTTAAAGCTTCATTTTGCTGGGCTTGGCCCGTTTGGGCCTGTTGGGCCTGATTGCAGTTGTGGAAGTATTTGGGCCGGGGGTCCCTGGACCATATACTCCATCATCCAATTTATATCCTTCTAACGTACCGTCCGATCGGGTTTGGAGGCCTTCAGGATGGGGTGTCATCTTATGTTAATTAAGCCTAGAAAATAGTATTTGTCAAAAAACGTTATTGATAATTGATAGATACCAATTAACAAGCCATAAAACTAAGGCTTCCGAACAAGACGAATTAATAGGCCTGAAATTCAGAATTATTAATGGTACGATTCTTAAACTATGTTGATCAAAAGCAGAAGAACTGGTGCTGCTGTTGAGAAGAATTAACGAGCAAGGGTGATAGATGTCTGAGGTGAAGATGGCAGGTACTGCATTGTAAAATTTTAATTTGATCAATTTTATATCAAGAATGTAAAATACTCCGTATTTTATCACCCCTGCACGTAAAGTGTTTTACATGGTACATTGTAAAATATTTTAAAATAGTACCCTACAATTTACAGTAAATAATCATAAACGGTATCATTTGTTTACATCTCTACACTTTGCATGTAAAAGATTGCTTTATACCTTAACAAACGCCCCCTTAGTCTAAAATGAACTACAGAGAGTTTAGATACATGCCAGCCTGCTAGGGGTCCTTCAAGTCTTGTAGCTTTCAGGGCCGGTCCTGATATAGGGGCAGTCTGGGCCGCTGGTCGGGGCCCACCAAGAAGTGGGGTCCATATTTTTTTATAGTAGTAGAAGTGTGTGTGTGTGTATTGAGTCCCGTTCACCTAAAGTGTTGTATAGCCAAGCCCATTTGAGGAGTTTATTGATGGAATTGTGTGGAAATTACCCGTGTAAACCCCTTTTATGTGTTGAATTTCTTTTATGACACAACAGGATTTCTTTTTCATCTTTAACTTTGGGGCTGTTTACTTTTTTTGTCATTAAGTCCTGAATGGATTAAGATGTCTTTCTGCATTAAGCTGTCTATCTGGATTAAGTTACATTGAGATAACAAGCCGTTTACTAAGTGTGCTGAATAAGAAGTCTGAATCATGTCTAATGACCAAATAACTCTCCTAAATACAATCATATATACTCCGTATTAGCTTCAAAGAACATCACAATTCATTTGTTAAACATCATAAATTATTGTTAGGGATCCGATTATATATAAATTAAATACTGCAAAAGCAAAATAAACAAAATGGTTTAGTCAAATTGACAAGAAAAACCCATCATACCTACCGGCAAATAGAAATCAAATTATTCCCAAGATTCTTAAACAAGTATGTATAAAGCAAAAGTAGGATAGTGCTGGAAAATGGAAAAGCTGCGCAGCCTTACACTATGACTTTAGTCCGCCATGAACCCAGCGCTGAAGAATATTCTAAGACGCCTAGCTCACAACACGGGGAACGAGTAAATCTCAAATGGTTTTCAAAGGCCGTTTTTTTTCTTCTAAGAAATCTGCCGATGTTTCCAGCCCAGGTGGATATATTTGCTTGGAGAGGGAGATAGTCGATAGTGTTGCATCCGTCATTAGAGAAGCTGTTCAAATGGCAGAGAAGCAAAATGATTATCGGTCTTGGGTTAAAAGAGAGAAAGGTGTCCATTCCCGTGTGTGGAGCGGAAGGAGTGAAATCTTGAGACTGAATGAATAAGTCGAATTTTGTCTGAGCGAATAAGTCGTATTTCTTATTAAGTCTCAAGTAAACACACCTGAATAGCTGAACGATTAAGTCAACATATCCATTAAGTTCATTAAGTCATAAGTAAAAGCTCATTTGCTCTTTTCACTAATAGTTTTAGCATTTCAAGAATGGCTTTCACTAAATAGTTTGTGACTTGTATTTTGAAGAAGTATGCTTCTTCTGGTCTGATCCGATCTTGTCTGGTCTGAGACGGAAAACAGTCCAAAAGAAAACATTATGAATATGCGTGGTGTAAACTAACACTTATCATGTGCATTTTAATATAAACAAAAGTGCATTATTATATCACATTTTGCATAGTTTTATGTTGACACTTACAAAATAAAATGCACTTTTATCATGTCCATTGAAATATATTCAAAAGTGCACTATTTTATTACAATTTCTAGAACGAGACATTGACACTAGTTACAACTAAATGCACTTTTAATTTTTCCTTTTCCAAATGCGGGCATGAGAATTATTAGATTAAGATGGTGATCTATGTTGTAACTTGTATCTGCAAAAAGAGAAATAAAAATAATGAAAAATGTATATATGAACAAATGATAAGTGCATCAAAGTTCAATAATATATTTTGATAATATATGGGTCGATCATAAGTGCATGAAAACAATCGTGCTAGTGCACTGACGGGAATGGGAAAAAAAATAAAACTTAAGAAGACCTCAATTAATAGAACCATCAATGACACTATAATACACATTTTTTCATAATTATTTATAGTAATATTTTAAAAAAACAATTGTGAATGCCTAAAATAAAGTTACTGTGAATATAATATTCTAAAAAGCGTACAGTGATGATCCATGGCATATGATGATGTGCAAGCATTGAGGAAGACAGATATATGTACGCAAAATGTAAAAACAAATATGACACACTTTGTCTTTTTTGGAAGAAAGTAAATTAATTGCTATTAATCAAATCAAAGTTCAATACATGACTAATAATTGCTATTAATCAAATCAAAGTTCAAACACGGCTATCAGACAAAGAACAAGTCACTTCAGCGGCTAATTCGTGAGCGACTCTATTCGCTGATCGCCTAATGTGAGAAAAATGGAGTTCCTTAAACCCCGGACACATCTCTCTAATATCTCCAGCCAATATTCCCGTAGTAGAAATACTGGACCCTCCTCGGAATTCAGTAATAGCATGTAGAGCATCTGAATCAACTTCCACAAACTCCCAAAGTCCCACGACTGATCCTTCAATCAGCTAAGAGCTTCACGAATTCCCGGTAGTTCAGCTTCCAAAGAAGAAAAATTTTCGGACCAAGATTTAGCACCAACTACAATAAACTCCCCAAATTCATTTCGGAGAACCCAACTACTTTTGTTTCAAATTCGTGTAAAATATTATCCCAGTAATGCATTGTTAACCAGAGATTCACTTGAGCGACGTCGGGATCCCCATGGCCGAAACCAAACTTTTCACAGGCATCCCCTTCTCAGTAGGATTGCAAGACAAACGAAATGAAGGGGACCTCTTCACCGACATCCTTCTCATAGATTAAATATTACAGTATAAAGTATTAATCTGTGACCCTCCAATTTAGTAGAAGGACATAGTACAATCGGGAAGGAGAAGAATCAGGGGATGAACCGAACCAAATGAGAATCCAAGCGGCGAAGCAGATAATAGGGAGAACCAAGTCCCAAAGGACACCCAAATGAGCGAGCGATCCTGAAGCGACGAAGACGACGAAGGTGGCAGGTTTGTGAAAAAGAGGACCAGTCCATAAAGAAAAAAGTGAACGGGGAGAGAAAGAGAAGGGGGAAGGAGGAAGGTAGACACCTTACAAGGGCGTCAGCGTTGTGCTGATGGCCGACTGACGGCGATTGACTACGGAGAACGCCGGTCAAGTTGCTATAGTATATCTTCAAATGAAACAGAGAAAAGGAAAGGTAAATACGTGGAAAAGGCAGAGAACTTAATGAAAAATTAAGACAGTAGCCATGGGTGATTTAGACTTTAATTAAACGCATAAGCAACACATAAGGAAACACCTGGTCATCTATTTTAACATTCATAGAGCAGATGTACCTAATTGACTTTAAAAACGCAAACTCGTGTACTTTCAAGTGTACGATGAGGTACTACTTACTCCACTTGAAACAACTTTATGCACCATTTTGACCATTTTCTCGATTAGAAACACCCAAATGAAAATCAAATTTTGAGGTAGACCGAAACCCACATTACGCCCAGCCCAGCCCAGCCCACCTAAGCAGGTGTTTAGCCCAATGTATAGTAGAACACTAGAACAAAAGAACAATGATGATAATACATGGCCTGCGGAAAAGGTGCACCATGAAGATTTGAAGAACCATAAAACATTTGTGACTCCAAATAATTATGAACCACAAGAGATTTCTCAAGTCAAAATATAAATCAAAACATGACACACATCCATACATTACAACCATCTTCATTTGAAAGTATATCAAACCACTGGATTGCAACGACCCATTATTACTTATTCCAGCTGATGTATGTACATGATTTCCCCGCAGTGCAAAAGAAATGGATAAATGCTATTATCTCAAGGCTTCTTCTTGACAACAAGAACCTGGCAGTTGGCGTTGTGGACACAGTACGTGCTCACGCTTCCGAGGAAGGCCCTGTAAAGACATTAGTCCAACGTGGGTTGTCACAAATTATATATTTTCAACTATGTTGTCACAAATTAAACTTACTCTCTCCTTTTAAGGGGAAACAGTGGGTTCGATATTGTTTTGTTTTCTTTCTAGATAAACCTAGACGACACAGATCCATTTCCAAAATTTGTGTGCCAAAAGCAAATTAAGAAGTTTATTTTGGGAATAGGAAGCATACAACTACGAAAATATTTAGGTAGTCAAAATAACCTTTGCAGAGCCCCTCTACTGTGACTTCCCAGCACAAGCAATTGGATATTCATTTTTTCTACTGCTTCACATATGACCTCCTTAGGATCTCCTGCCTCCATGACTGTCTCTGCTGTTATCTGTCAAATAAAAAGTCGCATATTCTGAGTCTTATGAAGCCACATAGCTGTGGTGGAATAGTCAGTTTAGTAGGTTCATCATTGGCCAATTGTCCATATATTAAAATGTTTCTTATTCTGATTAAAAGATAATAGTCATAATACTAATAAGTTTGATCTAGTACTCTCATTAGGGAAACTGGAGTATAATTTGGAATAGACAGAAAAATAAAACTAGCCTGCATAAGTGGGACATAGGGAGCCTATCTATTCATTACATTTTCATTACAAAGACTTTTCAGTAATTATCAAAATACTGAAATTCATCATGAAGATAAATTACCCCATATTTTTTGCAGATATCAGTAGCTTTATCCAAAAGAGCAGTGGTAACTTTCTTTTGATTTTCTTGGATGGATCTTACCAGTTCAGGAGCTGCAACAGTAGAGAAAATAGTGTAAGATCCTAAATCTCTAAGGGTCTCTCTTTGGAATGTGGAATTGATAGGTAAAGAATGAGTAGGAGAAATTTAGGAGGAAAATTTTGAGAAAAATAAACACTGTTTTATACTCGATAGGTTTCTTTTTAATATTTGTTAGAATTCATTCTTTTGTTTATTTCTATCATATATACTCAGCAATCACATAGTTTAGCAAATCATCCAAGAAAAGACAAGTGTATGATTAAAAGAGTAGTGAAAGAGAGGTTACATGTGAAGCCAAGGGAAGAAGCATAGATATAGCCATAGTCAACGATTGACTGAACGGTGAAGAGCACAAGTTGTGAATTGAGCAAGGAAGCGTGGAAGTGTTGAAGAGTCCATTCAATTGCATAACGGCTGAATTCACTTTCATCGATTGCTATCATCACCCTCTCCTTCTCCTTCTTATCTCCTCCCTCCATTTCCAGATTTTTCAACTTCTCCATCCTCTTCTCAAATGTGCAGCCTTGCCAATACCCAGCATCTGTGTGTGAATGAATAGCTGAATATGATTGTTTGTGCACACGTGTCAGTTTTCCGTTTCAAGATGCACACGTGTTAATAAACCTGGATAAAATCAAATTTGCGTACCAGTTACCAAGTTACTACTCGGATAACCCATCTTATCTTACATTCTTACCTGTACGGTGATCCGGGTCAGGTTGGATTTTCGACCATTTGGAAACATATTTTTTGTATGTACTTGGATTTGAAGGTAATTTCATGGATTGTGTTTTCAAATTATCCGCAAATTTTGTATGTAGGCATGGACCGGGCCCGGGCCGGTTCAAGCCGGGCTTTTTTTTCAGATGTTGGATCCGGAACCGGCCTGGGTTGATACCAGGTCAGGACCAAACCAGGTTGGGCCGGTCTAATGTTTAATTTTTTTTTTTTGCTTTCTAATTAACCCCCGACTCCCCCCCCCCCTCACCCCCACCCCTCAAACCTACCCGCAACACCCAGCCCTACCCTAGGAAAAGACAAAAAATTGAAAAAAAAATGAACCGAGCATGGCCCGGACCGCCCGGACCGGTTCAAGAAAAACAGGGCCCGAGCCCGGCCCGCCAGGCCCGCCCAACCCGGGCTAAAGCCCGGAACCGGCCGTCCGGTCCCGATCCGGTCCGGGCCTGCATAGTAGCGGGCCGGTTCAGCTCGGTCCAATCCACCCCTATTTGTACGTAGTCGTCTTCTTTGAACAGTGTTATAGACTTATATTCAATAATAAGTATTAAATCACATTTTTTTCTGTATTATTTTTGTTAGTAATATTTTACGACAAACTTTAGTATATTTTAATACATAGTATAAAATTTTCATAATTTAGTCATTAACTAGAATTGCAACAAATCCAATCGACTTTAAATAGGATTACTGAAACTTCAAAATAGTACTTCATAAAATTTTTATTTCAGTTCAAACAAGTATGGTCGGAGTATTTTGATTTTTGATGAACTCTTGTTAAGCAGTGTTTCATTTTCGATAGTTTTAGACTTTTAGGCTTCCTCATGCCCATTTTGTGTCTAGGGAATCAGGTTGCTTTGTATGGGCGACTGATTCTAAGTCTATTCCTAGGGCTTACGATCAGATTTGTAATATCTGTCAAAATTGAGTCTTGCGTGTTTGCCCTATTCTAATGGAAAGCCGTTTTGAACTTTTGATGATAAAAAAAATAAGGTTATGTTAATGTCTGATGATTCTAATATGCTCCAAAATAAGAATTTCACATTTAAATCCCCTTTTATTGATAGGGATCCAAGTCAGTTGAGTATTAACAAGAAAGTAAATGGCGCTAAAATTTTCCCTCTTTCCATGTACCCACAAAAAATAAAGGAAATAGTTAATTAACCAACTAACTCCACAACTTAGAGTTTTGACAGCACAATACAAAAATGTTAGTGGTGAAGAAAAAGAAAGAATTAGGCATGTCAACTATTGTCAAGAGGTGAACCAGGGCAGCATAAAAAGAACTTTAACATACAAATATAGATATTAATGGCTGCTGATGGAAGTTCAAAGCTCAATATTTGTGGAGCCTAAATCCATCCCTTTCATCTTCTATATACTCCCAGCATTAAACAATCTACTGCTTTCTTATTTCTAAATCCTAAAGCAGTAAAAACGCAATCTCCCAGCTGAATACGAGACTGATGACTTTGTTCCTGATCAAGCATAGGGACGGGACTGGAAACTATACAAGGTTGTAGGCTGGTAGATCAGTCATCCTGTTTATGTCTTCTAAAGACAATTCTCTCTCCAATTGCAGCCTTGTTACTTGTAAAACATCCTGGACAAGTGCAACAAAAAACACTAATACATATATGGTTATGAGTAGAAGAAAACTTTCTGCTTTCAGCCCACAACCATCAAGTCATTTCCACTTTTGGTCCTAACATTTTTTTTTTTACTTTTGGTGCATGACTACGATTTGAATGCCAATCTTCAGGTCCTTCTGAACACTTTACCCGGCAAACCTCTAATGGATTTTCACCAGACAAGTGACCAGAAGGATCAAACTGGAAAAAATCCAGTCGTCATAAAAATGTAGAAACATGAAAGTTTGACCAAAAGTGGGGATGATCTAAATCATCTAATAGTTGTGGGAACAAAATTGCAGGATTTTCTAATTTAGAATGCACAAAATCTACAGATGGTCATAAAAGACACAAGCCATGCTTAATACAATGATAATGATAACTAAAACTTCATCATCACACTATTTGCAGTGGTCTAATCCATCTTAGAACACTGTCCATTTGTACAATAATGAGGGAGAAATTAGTGTACATTGAAATCCATATATGAAGCGTGCATAGCCAGCCATTGTGCATCCATCATTGCAAATGCTATACAGTAAAGCACATCAAATGCATCTTCATCTTCTGCAGGTGCATGCAATTTTAAACACAGATCATTTGGAAAGAACCACATTCAAATCAACTAAAAGCCACAGTCTTAAGGTCATGCGCTCATACCTGCTAATAATTTTACAAAATTGATTCCCGGAAGGCATCTAGGTTTCGCTGCAAGAAACAAAATAAATATAATACAAACAACAACATCATCCAAGCCTTAATCCCAAAAGAATTTGGGGTCGGCTAACATGAATCGATCAATGATACCGATGCCAAAAAGAGAAGACAAACAAGAAAGGGAAGAGAAAAAAGTAAGATAAAACGAATAAAATAAAGATAAAAAAAATATAAGATAACAATAACACAAGAATATAAGAAAGATAAAAGATAAAAAAAAGAGCATAAAAAAGCTAGAATATAAAAATAACATAAGAATATACAAAGATAAAGAAGAAAAACGATAAAAGAAAAAAGAGAGGAAAGGTAGAAAAGACATCAATCGTCCACATGGATGTGCGCCCTCCACTTTGCTCTCTCCAAAGCCATACTCTCATCCAACTCAAGAAGACGCATGTCAATTCTGATTCCTCTAATCCAAGTCTGTTTGGGTCTTCCCCTCCCTCTCTTCTCTGCCTCTTCTCCCCACCCCTCAAGTCATCTAATTAGTCAAATTAATTAAAGCACCTAGGGTTGTTGATTTATTGGTGGATTCATATAGTTCTAGACATATTCATTTCATAGTTTTTTTATTGTTTCTTCTTCATACTTTAATTTACATTAGAATTAAATTAGAATAAACATATACAAATTTCATGATATGAAATCTTATCATTCATATATTTTGTTTGAATTTTCAAATGTACGTAGTACATTATAATCTAGACCATTTTCATATGCAAACTTTTCAGTTAAATCGTAAATCATATATACAGTGAGTTATTTATACTTCATACATGACTAAATAGTCATTTCTCTATGACAGTTTGTAGTTGACTGCTATCAATAATAACAAGCTAATTTTACCAAAAGCCTTTCTTCAAAATCACTAATCGACTCAGTCAAATCTACTACACAGCTAGATAATTCCACTTGGTGTAAAGCGCTTGTTAATTTATTGATTCTCCCCACATCATCCTCTTTCGAAACACTTTCTAAGCTATTCAATAACACTCAAACGGACACAAGACTCACTTCTTTTAAACAAAAAGAGAGCAGCCCAAGAGAATACGTCAAGTACACCTAATTAATAATCATCACTTAATTTGGTAGTAACAGTGTGTTTTTTGTCCACAGCAGAAAAAACATAGTAATGCAAATCTGAGAATGCATTCTGCTAGACGTGAGCAGCCTTTTAGCGACCCAAGTCCCCAAGAGACCTTTTAAGTACTTAGGTACTACCTGAACATAAGTCCAGCATTTGAATCAACATAAATGAAACATTAATCCCAGCAACTGCAAATGGGTACTCCCATGTTGCGCGGTCTCCAACTTGCTTCAAAAGTAACCTATGGAAACAAGCCTTCCATTTGAATTTATATTATCAGTTAAAACAACACTATGCAGCTTAAATCTAAACAAGATATAAGAAAAAAATAGTTATCATATCTAAAGTATGGAGCATCCTTTTCCCTTTGCATGAGGTGTAATAATTATATTAAAACCTTACCGCATAATTTCTTGCAAAATATAGTAGATTCTCAAGTGAAAGAAAACCGCAACCCCTGGTATCAAGGAAGTTATCAACTGAGGCAATTCATTAGAGTTGCATTAATCATATCTCCATATGTATAGCCAAAATTATTTCTTAGGTTAATTACATCAACTGCAGGGGTGATGGTTAAATGCTTGTTTTTACCAGAGGAATATTAACATTGAGCCAAGTCTTCGATAACAGATCATTTTAATCATTTCTATAACATGTTCTTATTAATAAAATGTTTCAAGAACCTACATACAAACAGGTGAAACAGTTATTAGAAGATTGCATTTCATAGGTACAAATCAAATTACAGCACTTAACAAAATGCTAAGGCCAACATGTTACTTCTCATATACAATCTCCAAATAATAATATATGGTTGGGGAGGGGCCAAGGGGGGCTCAAAGAATTGGACTTACCTGAAATCAGTTGATGGGTTAGATCCTTGCCAACCCATATCCTTCCATTGCTCAGAGATCAGTCCTTTGAGCTTAACGTCTGGAAATGACAAATTCCATAAAGATAAAAGTGCTTCCTGAAATGACAATGTAGTAAGCTCATTTTGATGTTTAAGCTCATTTTGTTTTTTTTTTTGGATGAAATGTAAATATATATTAACACCCAAAAAAATATACATCAAAAAAGTTCTAGATCTCCTAAAACCTCCCCCACCCCTACCTAGTGTAGGGGTTAGGAGAGGTTTTTATTCGATCTAATCTAAGGTCAACACTCAAAAAGGGCCTAAGTATACAATACTAAATGCCCAAAAATCAGAAAAAGAAATCAGTGCTGCACGCACATAGATCATAACAGTACATCAAAACAAATGCAAAGAACCTAGCCAAGAGGAGGTTATAGTGAATTCTCCCCTTAGCCCCAACCAGAAGTCCGATGTGTTGCAGAGTGCACACTCAAGTCCAAGGAG